AGAACGAGGAGGTGGGAGGAGGAGGGACGAGGGAGGAGGCAAAAGGGAGCGGATTTCGCGGCAAGCCCACCGATTCGCGTAAAGCATCACTCAGTGGGGGGGGAGGGAGAGAAAGGGGAGGGAGGGAGACGAGGACCCTTCTACACAGTCACGACCCCTTGGCCTGCCCCAAGGCTCTCAAGGACCAGCAAGGCATGGTCATCTTTTGACGTGCATGAGACAAGAGGACTAAATTAAGAAGATGGGCCACGCTAAAAGAGACGCACCACTCTACACTGGAAACGTAAGTTGTGTGCACTACCTCTTGAACACACACATGTATTCAGGAGAGTGGAATGTTCATGTAAGCAGGAGGTATTCGTTCGTTTTCATCCCCCCATTTGAGTGATGCTGGAACTGTGCTCCAAAATCAAATGCTCTAAATCGAATGAAGAGTATTATCGAGTATTATATACTTAATTTAGGATAGGAAGAACTGCTCTTTTACTGAGACAAAAACGCTTGATATATCCAGCTTTGTGAGTGTAAGAACAGCTACTCCTGCGTTACCAGTACACGCAAGACCCGATTTCTCAACCAGTTTTCAACCCCCACCCACAACACAAAAAAGCACGAAAAATAAGAACAAAAAGAACCCTTCGAAGTGCATGGCAGACTAAGGCAGGCAGGCGGACTCGGTCGAGCGCGCGCGCGTCAATGCATCCCGAAACAAAAGAGCGTCGAACTGTCGCCACGCATAAATATTTCATCGAATTTAATGCCACGGAGGGAGGGATGAGGCCGCGGGGGAGAGAGAAAGAGAGACAGAGGGGGAGGGAGAGGGAGAGGGAGAGAGAGAGAGAGAGAGAGAGAGAGAGAGAGAGAGAGAGAGAGAGAGACGGGGAGGGAGAGGGGGCGTGCGTTCGATAGGTGCCTCGAGGCACGCTTCCCCTCCGCCCTCCTCCTCCCCTCACAATCCCAACCTCTCACTTCACCACCGCCACTGCCGCTACCACACCACATCAAAACCAGTCTCAGACTCTGGAAATAGCCGCTTTGTGCTAAGCCCGTTGCAAATTCAGCCAACAATACGCCGGCGACAGGGGTCGGGTATCCCGACCCGCGAGAGGCTTTGGAAACCTCTCCTCTTGTTTTTTCACGCCCCCTCCCCTGCCTCCCCTTTCCCTCTCTCTCTCCGGGGGGTCTGCATTCAGAGCACTACGCTAATGCAACAAGCGCAGTAGTGGCCGCGCTGCAGCGGCGGGAAGACATTTTAATAAAACGCTAATGTATTTCGTAGATTGATTTATGCACTAGTATGGGATGTTTGCACAACAAACCAGTAATCCTGGCGTTGGCGTGGAGCTGTGTGCGGCGGGGCGTGGCGGGGCGTGGCGGGGCGTGGCGGGGGGCGCGAGTCGAACAGGCAAGGGGTTGGTGAGCGGCGGCGGCACCGGCACCCGCCAACCACTGCGAAACGAAACTCGCTGGTAAGCCAGCATTCCCGGCAGTGCGCTCCTCGCCGGCGTTGACTGGTGAATTATTGAAGCGAATCGCCACGAAAATACGACACGGCGAAATCATGTTGGGACGTTGGCAGTACGGTACGGCCGCGAGAGGAGGCAGGGCAGCCTGGCCGAGCCGAGCCGATCTGCACTCCGGCCAACGGAAACAACGGAATATTGAATCAGGTGTATCGGAGGGCGGCGGGGCGGGGCGGGACGGCGGGACTTCGGCGGAGGGACGCAGGCAAGAGCCGGCGACTTGGTACTATTGGCCAAGAAGAAAGCACGAGAGAGAAAGAGAGAAGCGACGGAGCGAACTCTACGTGTCGTAGTATAGTGAGATCCATGATGTAGTGAGATCTATGATGTAGTGAGATCTATGTCCATGTGCCGTCGCACCAGGACAGTCACTTCATGAGCCGTTATTCCACAGCTGACGAGACAACTGCTGCGTTCCTCTAAAAGTGGTGTTCAAGTTGTTGTCATACAGTTTGTTTTTTGTTGCGTGTTTTGGTGCAATTCATCATCACTAAGGTAACATTATAACATTATTATTTTCGTGTGCCACAGGCTCAGGCTCACGGAGCGTACTCTCTCACATCATAAATGAAGAGGATTACCGTCGTAGACCCCCCCCCCTTCCCCGTCCCTACTACCACACACACTGAAACACAACGCAGCAGCGTTTCGCGTTCGTTCGTCGAATTCAACCGCATCACGAAGGTTTGGCATTTCACTCTTCACAGTCTTGCGCGCCGCGGCAAAAGCGCGAAGGTGGCAGGGTGGCAGGGTGAGGCGAGCCGTGGCACGGTGAGGGGTGCGAGGCGGGGCGGGGGCTGTTGGCAGGGGAGAGGGAGTAAAAAGGAAGGGGGGGGGGGGTTAGGGCGTGGCGGGCTACTCGATCCTCTTGCACTCACCCCCTCCAAATAACCTTCGCGAGGAAAGGAGGCTCATCGACCTCATCAGGGATGATTGATGGATAAAAAATACTGAGATACACCGGCAAGAAAATAAAAAATATGTATAGATTTAATGTAACTTTTTCGGAATTCTAAATCGTAAAAGAGACAAGGCGGTTTCTTGGCTGGGCGGCCACCACCATCGACCACTGTGGCAGCAGCAGGGCAGGGATCTGGACGACGACGCCGAGCGGCGAGCGCGCGCACGGGACACGAGGTTTATGGTTCGACTCCCGAGTCCTGATACCGGGTTTTATGGTGGTTTTTGCCCTTGGTAAGCCACTTGGAAAAAGAACCCCGCACCTCGCTCCGCACCCATGCTTTACCCCGTTCCTGCAGCATTTTCACGCAGCAGAGCGGGAGGAGAGACAGAGAGGGGGGTGGGGTGGAGCTGGTCTGATCCCTATCCGGATATGAAGCTATTCCCGCCAAGAGCAGTACTTCCACCGCCGCGCCATGCGAGTGAATCGCAAGGCTTTGGGGCAGAAGCTAAAGCCGCTACCACACATCAACACATATGCTCCTATACTTATTTACTTATTTATTATGTTTAGTATTTCTTCTTAGTCTCGAACTTATTGACCTTCAACGAGGATGATACCAAACGGTACAGTTGAGTTGATTCACTAAACATGGACATGGGCACACATGAACACAGTGCTTGCAAATAGTCGGACCAATGTATGGGGAGGACGTAAATGGGCCCTTTGAGCACATCTAAATCAGATATAAATTTGTATCGACGTTACAGAAATAAAGCACAACTTGTGCCTATAAACAGACAAATTTGTATCTGATAAAGATGTGCACAAGGACACATCTAACATACAAACATTTTGAGAGAGAGAGAGAGGGAGGGGAGAAGAAGGAGGAGGAAGAAGAGGACGAGGACGAGGACGAGAACGAGGAGGTGGGAGGAGGAGGGACGAGGGAGGAGGCAAAAGGGAGCGGATTTCGCGGCAAGCCCACCGATTCGCGTAAAGCATCACTCAGT